AAGGATTTTCAATCCCGCATCATTGAGAAGCTGATGCCACTGACTTTCAGTCCGCTCGCGATTCACCAACATGCCCATCATTGTCCAGTCAGTGCTCGTCTATAGCCAAGGAGCACCAACCTCTCGCGGAGTAGTTTCATTGATAACTAGTTGGGAGTATCCCTTACTCACGGCTTCTAGGAGGTGGGCCAGGATGGGAACACACTTTGCATCAGGCCTGCTGTGAAGAATCAGGCGCATGAAATACGCCTTTTCTCCTTTGCACTCGACGAGCTAAGAAGTGAAGAAGTCGTGGGGAGTAGCTTCGATGATCTTGGGAAGTTCACCAGATGACTTAGCTTCTTCCATGACTCCCAGAAGGTCTTGCCATACCAATCTTCTGGAGACCTTTTCTGAAACTAAACCTAATACTCATGACCAAGGCCATCACCAAAGTCAACCAGCCAAGGAGCAATATCGTCAGTATCCTCGCCCAGTTGTTCTTTATATGGATGGGCTAACTTCAGTCCATTGGTCTCGCCTTAGCCTGACCAGCCATGAAACTGTTGAAACCTTTTCCCAGGCTGACATTATCTCGGAGAATACTGAAGGGGGACTTATCGGCCCTCAAGGAATATTGAACAGGAGAATGGTTGGCGTCGAGGGGAACTTGATAGTTTGTCTGGGACAAGAACCCAGAAAGACCCTGGAACTTTGGAATCATGCCTTCGAAGCTGCATGTAAGGCCGCCTTTCATTGTTGGATCCCTAGTTCACATGGAGGATGGTGTATCAACATATTACTCTTGACCGACTTCTTTGATAATGCCATGGGCTCCCAAATGCTTCAGAGCTCGAGTGACCATGCTACAATCAACCAGAACAACCCCCAACTACTGGGGACTAAAGAATACATACAAACCAATACAAGATCGGATTTGGTGCCAGACATCTCGACTGCTAACTGCTTTGTGGCTCTTCTCCAAGCTTCAAGTGTTCCCAGTTTAAAGAGTGTCTAAGAAGCAGCAGTCCGAGCTGGTTTCGCCGTAGCCAGTTCTCACAAGGTTCTCTCCTGGTTAGTCTAGCTCCTGGATGAGAGCACTGGCTGTAGCTAACATAATCTATCTGGAGGTTTCATCTCCTGTCTTTGTAAAGTGCTTGCTATCTATCTACTGCTAGATATTCAAGAACTGAGGCTTACATGTTGAAGCTTGAGAACAGATTTCAGAGTAGAGCAACGCAAAGGCACTTGATTCTCATCTATTTCATGAGTACATGTTTATGTGAAACGGGGTGCAGAGGCAGCTACCGTGAGATCTGATGATGTTCATCGTGGTAAGCGTTAGCTTGCCGTAAGCCTCACACCAGCATACAGAGGGTGCATTCCTTATTGCATTTAGATCATTATATTGGCGAGAAACGCTTTTCATCTTATTCGGGTCATTTGCTTGATCCTTAAGTTGGCCAATCACCAAACCTGTAATGAATACTACGAGATCATACAGTGTTCCCTTCATACCTCATTTTCATGAATAGTGATAGTCACTACGTAAAGATACGAGGAAAGCAGTTACTGATGAGTATTACTTATAAAGTTTAGAGGCTTATATCTCACAGTCTGAGTCTGAGAATTAAAGCCACGCTTTGTGTGTGACGAGCTCACTGTTTGAATTTTGATTCATAGTTGGTGAACCTGCAAGATCAAGATATCTAACACAAAGGCAAAGTGGCTTTATATCAACTAGTTAAAGACATTTGTGAAGGCTAGATCTCATAGAGCACAGAGGACGCTGATAGATAGGCGGACAGACATATATCAATTCCTTCAGTTTCCATTATCATTTGCTTCTGTACTGATTTTAAAATAAAGCCATCCCGACAGAAGAGCTCATTGAACAGCTGGGAAGTTGCAATTCATAGTTCAAGACGATGAGTATATTGTTCTTTGCACGCCTAGTGTCTAATTTGACTGCTTGATACGTTGTCATAGTAAGGCTCCATTGAAATTCCATGTGGCTGTGTAATAACTCAGACTCCAGCTTCCTTAGTCAAAGGACAGCACTGTAGGGGAAAGTCCCGGTTTTGCGCGGCTGTATCAAGACATTTCTCGGCTGTTGGTTGAGGATATGTCATTTGGTCGTCGTGATTAAAAACGGGCTAACTAATGATCATTTCATGAGCCGTAGGTAGGGGCAAGTGATGGAATGTACGTCAGAGTCTGTGCGACTTGTTGATTGTAGAGAAACCAACGACGAACTAATTTAATTGTCCTTGCTATTTTCCAGGGCGAAAATAATGACGATGCAAGGTCGTTGTTCCAATAAACTTGAGGTTCAAGGGAGATGCTGGCTCTGATGTCATAGGTCACATTGGACCCTGACCCTTATCTTGGAGAGATAACCAACAACTAACATGGATGGAGGCACTTGGACCTGGGCACAGACAAACAACGGAACATGACGGTCAATCAATGATTTAGTTGAAACTTGGGATCTAGGTTGAGGCGGTTAACGGAAGTGCCAACTCACCCTCAATTCAGCCTCAAGTTACACTGCAGTGCAATCACACTATCACAGCCTATAACTTTCTCTCTCTCTCACTCACTCACTCACTCACTCACTCACTACGTGTAATGTTACTTGGCCAACACGCCAACATATGCACAAGACGTTGGACCTGCAGGGGCTACAACCAAGTTAGTCAGGGGTAAACTGATCGTCTTGGTTGAATGTTTCTCTGATCTCGAGAACCGCATTCCAGTTGATCTGCAATAAACAGGCTTCATGCCTGTTGTTGTCCAGGTCGATACAGAACTACATACAGCCTACCCTGGATCAAATCTGGTATTCGTCATGGCTTGCGCTTGTTGTCTCGCTTCACTCTCCCTTCCAATTCCGTTTAGCTCCCTCCCTCGACGTGGCTTTGAAAGGTGGTTCCTCCCTCTCCAAGGACCCTGTCCCCTGTCCCCTGTTCAGTCCAAGCCTGTCCAATTCATCGTCATCCTTGCCCAAACTTGATTGAATCACTCGAATGGACCCGTCATCACTGCCCACTTTTGCCAAATCAATTCTCCTCCACTTGGAGCTAAGCAAAGGGAAACACTCTACCTGCAGCAGCAATTGACCGTGTCTCATCAAACGATACCTCACCAATGACCCTGTATAGAAAGACTCGTCTCGTCTCATATTTCCTCCCTCAATCAATCAATCACGCACGGCTTAGGAAGAATTCTCTTCCTCCTTCTACTCCTTTCCCCTTTTCAGTTCGTAACTTTGAGCCATGGCAATAGACTCCAAACGAGACGAGACCCAAGAGCCTGGTCAAACACGAGGCCCAGGCCTGGCTCTGGGTTGGGCTGGACTGGAACTGGAACTGGAGCTGGAACCGTAAAACTTGGCGATAACCCACTGAAGCCTTTCCACTAAAATCTCGGCCTAGCTTCTGTAGGTCTGCTACTGTACATAGCCTCAGCTGCCAAAGAGGGCGAGCCCCCCCCGGATAGGGCGCTGGAACGGCCCCTGCCTTTAAATCGCTAGCGCACGGGCTCGCACTGAACGCGCATCCCGTTAGCTCGTTTTCTCGAAAAGGTCTACTTCGCTCCCAAGTATCGATAAATCGACCACCGCAGCAACCGTGAGCATTGGCTATTCCCAACAAGGATTAACTCATCGGCAAGCGCCTGCGATGTGATAGCGTGGCGTCAGCAGACGGTTCGTGGCGCAGGCGGTTCCCCTAAGAGTTTGGTTGGAGGAGCCAAGGCCCCGACCCCATCGCGTCTCTTCTTCCCTGCTAGATTTCTGCTGCATGACTGGTCAGCGTCAAAGAGGTACATGCCTTGGGCGTATCTGCACTGACTGATGCTCCTTCCATCAGCGAGTCGAGATTGGAAAGACGGAGTGAGGCGAAAAGCAAGGGGAACATGCAAGAAGGCGCGATTCATGATGCGCATCTGCCAATCTGAACTGAACCCTTCTTGCCTTTCCCTGGATAAGGTACATAAGGTATCTTATTTCTGAATAAAAGTACCTCAGGTATCTCGGGTTGTCTGTTCTATTTTTTGCTTCGTCTGCATCATTACATCGTCAAACGACTTTCCCAAACGACTCCACCTCCCAATTACGATCCGCGACCGATACGATACGACACAACTTCTGGGACTTTGTCGGATTAGGATCCATCTCCATCTCACAAGCTTGCGGAGAACCAGGGACCGCGGCCGCCCGTGCTACACTGCTACCGTACGCTTCGGTTCAGTACGGACTACAGACGGTACCTTATTACCATACACACAATACCCACGTATTCGTACATACTACCAGGATCTCTCTCTCATTTTCCCTCTCGTCTTTCTCTTTGCTCATTTTACGCTCTTCGTGCCTGCTGCCAGAGCCTGGCAACAGTATTCGAATTAAACAAGCCACAGCATTTCTCGACCCTATCAACCCGTCGGCTCCTCAGAGCCTGTGGAACGTGGCTCATCTTGTCTCAGGCCCCGAAGTCTCACAGTCACTCGCTCGCTCGGATCTCTCACTTATCTCGCCGCCCTCCAGCTCCAGCTGCAGTTGCAGCTCCCGTCCGTCGTCCCCCCGTTTGACACTCACAGCCGTTTCCCTCACTGGATTCGACTGGCTTGTCACTCGTCGGCTCCGGAGGGTCCTCCCATCTCTCTCTCCATTCCCTCTCCAATCTCTCTGAGGGATTGACTTTTTCACGTCTGGTCGGTCTCGCAACGGACTTGTCGTCTCATCTTGACCTGTCACGCCAGGTCAGGTCACGTCTTTCTCTGCCCGGGCCGAGAGCACAGGACGTATTCAACTGACACACATACGCCCGATCACAATGGACTCGTACGTTGCCATCATTGCCATCTTGAATTCTTGACTCAGGATACCTCCGTTCTCCGCACCCGCTTGCACCTGCTTCTCTCATTCCGTCACGCATACTCTCCAGCCCGAACTCTATCACCAAACTTGGCCACCACATCTTGTTGGCTTCGAGCTTACGCGCTGTAGATTTATTCCAATGTCCGCCGCCGCCCCCGGCTGGGGCCAACCACTCGCGACAAAATCGCCAGCTTCTCGGCGGTCATTAGGTCATTTTCGATCTCTCTCCTCCATCGCAGCGACCCCTAGCTACCACCCTCGAACACCTTCGCTCACTCCCGACCACACCCCGATCAAATCTTCGTCCTCGACACATCTACCGATTGTCTCACCGAACCCGCCTACAGATTTTGGAGATGAGATGAGCACAATACCTGATCCTCGAAGTCGTGCAATGAGCCCTGCCGATGACAGCGGTGTCGCGACTCCCAGTCATCACCCCGATCTGAATGACGAAGTCGCCACCCTCAGTAATAAGCTCATCAACGCCATTAATCACCAAACCATCCTGGACGACTCTTTATCCGCCGCTCGCCACGAACTTGATGCCGCTCGGGAACGAATTCGCATGCTCGAGACTCAAAATGCCTCACAACGCGAAATGTTGGCTGGTGATGTATGGGTTCGCAAGCACACCGTTGAGGACGAAAAGAAGGTTTGGCAGGCCAAGGTTGCCGCGGAACGTCAAAAGCGAATTGACACAGAAATGGAAAAGAAGAAGATTGAGCAGGAGCTCGAGAATCTTACAGCCGCATTGTTCGAGGAAGCAAACAAGATGGTGATTGCTGCCAAGGAAGAGGCCAAGGCTGATCATGAGGCTCTTCAACGCAAGAATGACCAGCTCAAGTCTCAACTTGCCGATACTGAGAGCATTCTAAAGTCTCAACAGGAGCAACTCGTCGAGCTCAAGCACGTTATGGAACACATGGCTTCGGAACGAGGAGATCATAATAATCCCACTGCTCCCTCTTCTCCCGGCTTGACGAAACCTGATACTCGTGACGATCTTCGATCTTCAACTGAGGAGCCTGCTGCTTCACTCTGGACCGCTCCCGTCGAGCCTGCTCATCCGACCAGCTTCTCGCATCTTCTCCAACCCGTTCTGCGAACCGATTTGTCGTCTTATGACGATTTTCTTATACTCGCACGGACTTCTCGAAATCGCCCTGGCAGCCGCGTTTCTTCAGGTTCTGTCGGTGCTCTGAATGCTCTAACTGGCTTTGGACTTGGTGGTTCGATATCGAGCGCCCATCCCTCCAACGCCTCAACTACCTCACTTGGCACACCTATCGCGGGGGCCGGAAGTGCACCCCAGTCTCCCAACACACCGGCCTCAACCGTCAGCGCTGCTTCAAATGCATCAGCCACCCCTCTGCCAAGCTTGAAGGAAACAAAGTTTTACAAGCGAGTTTTAGCTGAAGATATCGAACCTACACTTCGTCTAGATATGGCTCCAGGCTTGTCATGGCTGGCTCGTCGATCCGTCATCGCCGCCATCGCTGACGGATCTCTGGTGGTTGAGCCTGTACCAACCACTGGCAGTCTTGTGGCACTGACAAAGCCGCAATTTTACCCATGTGCACTCTGCGGTGATTCACGCAAGGACCCTCAGTATTTACGAAACCATCGATTCAGAACGAGTGAGACTGATTCCGCTCAAAGGCATCCGTTGTGCAAGTACTGCCTGACTCGTGTGCGGTCGACTTGTGACTTCTTGGGCTTCTTGCGTATGGTTAAGGATGGTCATTGGCGAGCGGACAATGAGGATCACGAGAAGGCTGCCTGGGAGGAGAGTGTACGACTGAGGGAGCAGATGTTCTGGTCTCGGATTGGAGGTGGTGTTATTCCATGCATCCCGGCGCCTCTCTCTGTCGACATAGAAAAGAGCCCGCGTAACAGCCATGACGGCAGTGTGAGGTCTGACCATCTCGAAGTTCCTGGCTTTCAAACACCACAGATGACAATAGAACGGACACGAAGCGATACAACCAAGAGTGGCCCGATCGAGGAGCCACACACACCTCCTATGCAAACTGATGGAGCTAGGAGCGTGCGCAGCTCCGTCCAGAGTCTCGATGTGAAGAGCAACTCTGGTTCGGAAGAAACGAAGCGTCTATCTATCACGATTCCGACTACGGATTAAGAACCCCACATCCTTCAAAGTGCCTTGGAGTCGATGATATCGACGCCACTGTGGACTTTGTGTATGACTATGTATACTCTTTTGGGCTACAGGATCGCATGCATTGTTTTTGGATTGTATCTTTTCGTTGCTAACTACTATGGGCTGGTGGGATCAAATATTATGAGCTCAGGGGATGGTGGATCGGCCCCTAATATTTCCTTTTTGAACGAATATGGCACGGAAATTGGATGGATGGAAGGATTGGAAGCAAGCAATCATTTGGTCGTTTATGGACTGCGTGCGTTCTTCTCAGATGGGAATTTCATTAATTTCATTGCTGGCGTTTGATGGAAATATGCGCATCATTCATTCGGGGCGGCGCAACGACATGGGAAATGGGCCTTTCTTTTTGGAATAACGTACTTGTCCTTTGCTGTTTCTTGTTATCCAGAGCGTTCATGATTGGGTTGCTGATATTGCGCAACAAGAGCGCACAATACGCAGGCATGCCTTGGCATTCTTACACAATAGATTACTTAAGGCCGTCAAGCATGCCCTCTGACGATGCCCTTTAGTTGTAGTAGTAATAGATATGATACCAACTACAACAGACTTGTCCTTTGTAACACTCTGGTAACTAAATAACCCTCGGCCTGATGGACTAGGTTCTTGAGGCTTGCAGTAATCAAGCTGTACCAGGAACACTACGATTATTCATTCATCACTACAAATTATACAAGACTCAAACTTTAACATGAAAATGTATTATGTGATAAATGTGTACATCGCTGCCAATCGTACCGATGCCACAGTATTACCCTCGACATAAGCCAACAAATGAGAGCACGTCATTGCTAGACGTTCTGGTTCTGGTTCTGGTTCCACGCAACCTCGTCTCCTCCTTCTTTTTAGATGTTTTCTATAATATCTCACTTTCAGAACAAGACATTGCTTTCTCCTTTCCAGCCTTCTAATATCAGACCACTAGGGATCTTCCCACCCTCCCTCCATAAGTCGTAAGTGATAGAATACATGATGTTACATGAATTGTGGCGAGATTTAAATGAGGTCAGTCGTAGAGCAAAGGAAGGGTTATTAGTGACCTGGAAATGTTGCTGGGCGAGACAGAGGCCTGTGGCACTCTACAGCTCTTCCTTGACGGTGGCATCCTGCTGGTTCTCACTCGCAGGCTTAGCCTTGGCCTCTTCAGCCTCCTTCTCACCATCCTTGCTGGCAGCTACATCTTGAGGAGCGGCGGCACCTTCATCCTTGCCCTTAACGGTCTCGCTGTTCACACCCTCAACGTCGGGGTGAGGAGGAGCCACACCAGCCAAGTTCTGGTCCCAGCCCTCAGCAGGCTCTTGGACTTCATTGCCCTGTTCATCAACAACGCGTGTCTTGGTTTCGTACTTGGTCTTGAACTCAACCTTGCCCTCAAGAGCTTTGACCTCCTCAGGGTCAAGGAGGTTGCCATCCTGGTCACGGTACTCAACCTTCTCCTCCTTAGCAACGACTCGGTGCTCAACCTGGGCCTGGTCAGGAGCTGGGGGAGCTCCAGAGATGACAGCCTCTTCCTGTTTCTGGGAGACAGGGGCCTCCTCCTGCTTAGGCTCAACGTTCTTGGCTGCTGAGGTGGTGGGGACTACAGAGGAGCTGATGGAGGGGACCTCGCTGTACTTGTCATACTGTGAATGATGTCAGTCAAGGCTCATATCTTGCCAAGGTTCGCGGTGAAACTCACGCTATCATAAAAGGTGTTGCAGTCAAAGTCCCAGGTGTTGAAAAGTTTCATGCGCCTGCAGTCGGCCTTGGTCCAGGGGCTTCCGTAGGCAAGGGGAGAGTAGAGCATGAAGACGGCAGCGGACAGGACAAGGAATGAGACAGTAGCAATACGGTTGATCAAAGCGGTATCACGAGCACCAGCTCCGGGGATGCGGGCAGTGGCGTAGTCAAAGAGCTGGCACAAAGCAATGATCGCAAAGTAGAGAGCAGGGAAATAGTGATGAAGGAAAAGTTGACGCTGCATCAGGTAGAAGGGGAAGTAGTGCAGTGCCCAGCCAAGAACTGAAGTACCAATCTCGTAGTCGAACCGCTTGAAGGTGGTGTTGGAGTAGTCATTGCAGCTGCGCTGCCAGCGGAGAACAGCAATAGCTTTGAAGACGACCCAGATGGCAACGGCAACGCTGGAAGACCACCAAATGATGGGGTTTCCGAGGAGATAAACCTGCTTATGCTGACGACCCCAGAAGTTGATACCACGGCGGAGAATGGGCCAAGACTCAGGGCGAGAATCCCAGGCGTGAGAGTCTGTGAGACCGGCGTTTGTTCGCCACATGACCTTCTGAAGCTCCCAGAACTTGCCAAAGAAACCGGGATTGCGGTAGTTGACCTTCTCAACATCGCCCTGCAATTGAGGATGAGAGTTGCCCTCGATATACCACAGACTGTTAGGAAGAGTTCCGCCTCGGGCGCAAGTAACTTCCTGTTGCTCAGAGGCCCAGTCAGGGAGCTTGACCTTGTGGGAGAACAGAACACAGCCAGTCATGACGTGAACGAGACGGAACTTGGATTCGATAGTACGAAGGCGCTCCTTTGCAACAGATCCATACGTCTTCTTCTTCACAATCTCAACACGGAAGAAATCGTTGGCGTCTCCCTCAAATCCTTCGTAACCGTAGGCAGAAACCTCATTTTGCCAGTCGGCTTCAGTGATAGGTGGGCGAACATCATGAGAGTGAAGGCGGCGATGAGTGGGACCATGGTAAAGACGAAGAACGGTACCGTCGGTGATGTACTGAGGCTCAGGAAGGGCGTCCCAGGCCTTGGTGCCATTGATGGGCTGGCCATCAATTCCAAGAGGCTGAGTCTGGTTCTCAAGGAGCCACACGTTGTTGTCGTCCTTGTGAGGGTACAGGGTGATCTGCTGCTGCTTGCTACCGGTAGGGTACATGAGAGGATGAGAGTGGAGGTAACCACCCTGAGTGTTGACATGGCGGATGGTGACACGGCTGCCCATGATGACATCGGCGGGAACATCCTTCATACGCTTGTTGTTGAGAGTGGCCTGGAACTCGGAGCTCATGAAGCCATCACCGTCGCCAGGGTTCTTGAGGCAGACGAAGTGGATGGCGAACATGGCCATGTAGAAGGTGAGAGGAATGATGATTAGACAGAAGACACGAGCCATAAAGTGCTTAGTGAAAAGACGCTGTTCGTTTGTTAGTAACCATGTTCGTATGCGTATATTAATCAATTTCTTACCATGGACACGTTCTTGTTGTCACCGAGAAGGACCCAGAGTTGAAGAAGAGTGAGGGATCCAACCCAAGCAATGGTGAAGAGTCCAACCCACTTGATGCTGACGGTGATACCCAGGCCAAGACCAGTAAGAATAAGCCAGAACCACCAGCTCAACTGGAAAGCCTTGGAAGGGCCAAGCTCGTGCTGGTTGGTGAAGCAAGAAAAGGAGAGCACGGTGAAAGCGGTCGCGGCGACAAGAGGCGAATCGAGAAGGATGAGACGAGCCTGGGTAAGAAGACCGTTCTCTGTAGAAAATTAGCATCAGACTCTCCGAGCCAGTTGAAGGACCAGGAGAGATACGAACCGAAGATGATCAGGCCAGCTCCCATGGTAGCAGTCATTGTGCGGCAACCAACAGCCTTGAGAGTAAAGAACATGCAGGGAACCAAGAGAATTCCGCAGATGGCAGGGAACATTCGCATTGCGACATAGGGAACACCAGGCTCAATGTAGTCCTTGCCAATCTCCTTGAAGTCGAAGCTTCCATCAAATCCAGCAAGCCACCCAGTCAGGGCAATGAGCATCTTGGCCAGGGGAGGGTGAACGTCCATGAAGAACTTGCCCTTGATATACTTTGTAGCAAAGCCACCGAAGCTTGATATATGAGTTAGCGCATTGATGGAATAGACGGGGTGGGAGCTGCAACAGAGCTTCAGCTGGCTGGGGGGACGCACTGGACCTCGTCAAACACAACGCTTGTGGGCTGATAGATCTTGTACACGCGAACGAGGGTCGCAACGAGGATGAGGGCCAAGGCTACCCAATAGTCGGAGAGGGGGAGGAGGAAGACATCGTTGTCCTCAACACCATCTGACTGGTACGAGGTGTTCTTGGTGTCCTTGGACTTGGATTTGTTCTTGGACTTTGTGGTGACAGCAGTGGTCTGCGGCTGAGGAGGAGGAGGAGCTGCAAAAGGTTGCTGCTTCTCCGTCACAGGCGTCGGGGCCTTGACTGGCGGTTGGGGACTCTTGCCCCTCGTACGAGCCATGGTAGTCAGGTATCAATCAATATAGAATTCGAGTCGATTCGATCGCTAGAGGGCGCTATGTCCAAATCGTTCGTTCGATGTAACGAGAGTTGACGAAGAAGAGCTATAACAAAGACCGGGAGGATCTAGAGATACCTCATCGATAGCCGGTTCTTGGCTAAACAGAAAGTGAACAAGAATAGAAATGGAAAGGAAAAAGGGACCCAAAACCCAATCGCAGACCGCCGTTATGATACGGATATCAGCGGACGATAGGCGATGTAAAGAAGCCTTGGGGGAAGAAGAATGGATGTTGGGCGATAGTTTGCAAGGAGTAAGAAAATAAAAAGGGAAGTGGGCAAAAGAGGGATGATGAAGCTTCAGGGGATATTTTAGCACCACCTCAGCTAGCAATGACCTTATGCGGGCTGAGACTGCACCTATAAATGGTGATAGGTAAATTGATGGTTGCAGTACGATACGAGCAGTCGCGTCCAGCGTCGTACCCGTTTCTTTCCACTCGGGGCTCTTGGAGAAAAAAGTTGTAGCTACAGTGGCCTCTTCGGTTCGTTCCTGTCTGTCTCTGACCTCCCGTCTAGCAGGACATGTCAGCCGTCAGCCCAGTGGATGCTCTCCCTAACATCCCTTTACCCCTGCAGCGAATCAAACCCGGCCCCGGCCGTGAAGATCCCCTGGCGTCCCCGCAGCGCTAGGCTCAGAACAGAGCTTCAGCAGGCGCCATTAGACCTGT